GAAAACTAAGGACCAAAAAAGCCAGCCCCAATCAATCTACTCTTGCCTTGCCGCCTTGCAGAGTACACACTAAACAAGAGAACAGTAATGACAGATAGGATAACTGGGGCTGATTTTTTAATTAAATTTTTTTTAAAGTCTCACTATATAGGTTTCATGCCTATAATCTCTGCACTTGTGAGGCTAAGGCAGGAGGATCACAAAGTTCAAAGCCACCCTGGGCTACATAGTGAGTTCAAAGCTAGCCTGAACTACATAGCAAGATCCTGTTTCAAAAAAATATGAGGGGCTGGGGAGATAGCTCAGCAGAATAAGTGCCTGCTTGGCAAGTGCAAGGTCCTGAGTTCAATCCTTGGTACCAAAAAAAAAGAGTATCCAGACAGAAAGCAGATTACCTATAAAGATGTAAAACTCAGAAAGACCTCCCATTTTTGTTGTACAATTCTAAATGCCAGAAGACAACTGAATATTTACTGAGTTTTAAAAGAAAATCTTTTTAACCAAGAATTATATACTTTACCAAATTAGTATTTCCGTATGAAGGCAACTAGAACACATTCTTAGATATCAAGGGGTTAAGAAAGTGTATCAACCTTCTCTGAAAAATTGGCTAAATGAACTTTTTTTTTTTTTTTTTTTTTTTGCGGGACTGGGGATTGAACTCAGATCCTTGCGCTGGCCAGGGAAGCACTTATTCTACTGAGCCATCTCCCCGCCCCCCCCTGTTTTTTATAACCTTTTTTTTTTCCCCCCTCGGAACCAGGGATTGAACTTGGGCCCTTGCATTTGCCAGGGAAGTGCTTATTCCACTGAGCCATCTTCCCAGCCCTGAACTTTGGGAAAATCAGTTATCACTGCATCAGTATTACTAGTAGTCAATATAAGTCAATTTGTCACTCAGTGTGGGCAAGAAGAGTACATATTTTCTTTCTTTCTTTGGGGGGGAGGTTTTTACCAGGGATCAAACTTGGGACCCTGCACTTGCCAGGTAGGTGCTATCTCCCCAGCCCTGATTCCTCAAGTTTCTAGAATTACAAAAAAAATGAAACACCAGGAAAAAGTAGCAAAAGAAAAACACTAAAGAAGTGCTAAGACTTATATAAAAGATACTGATAGAAATAGAGATAAATGATACTCAAATACATTAAATTCCCAACTATAAGATCCAAATTGAAGTTTAAAAATCAAGCTCTTAATTAAGATACTCACACTTGTATAAAATAAAGGATAAGAAAGATTAAAGGTAATGAGTATGGTGGCAAACACCTATAATCCCAGCACTTGGGAGGCTGAGGAGGGGGATTGTTGTATATTCAAAGGACAATACAGACTAAATAGTGAGTTCAACTACAAAGCATGAACTACAGCGCCAGATCCTGTCTAAAGAAACAAAAACTAAAAAACTCACCAAAAAAGATAAAGGTAACAAAAACTGTTCAGGTCATAGAAATAGAAAGCAGAAGTAACAATATTATAGAAACACTTCACATTTAAGAGACTTGGGGCCGGGGAGATAGCTCAGGAGCCCGGGAGATAGCTCAGTATAATGAGCGCTTGCCTGGCAAGCACAAGGGCCTGAATCCCCAGTTCCACCTAAAAAAAAATGCCACTTCATGTGGCATTTATGTGTTAGATTTTTTTGTGTGTGTATGTGTAGAACTGGGGATTAAACTCAGACCCTTGCGCTTGCCAGGGAAGCACTTATTCTACTGAGCCATCTCCCCAGCCCTATGTGTTACATTTTTGTTCAGTATTCTAATGTGGGTGGGATGGGGGCTTGCCAGTTAGCTCAGTTGTTTAACGTGCCACTTGGGCAAACACAGTCAGTCACAGGGGACAGCGATTTAATCCCCAAGCCATAGCACACCCACCATGAAGGCAGCCTAAGAGAACCGAAAAGAATCCTTCTCTAATGTGAGTGGTAGTTTTATTGCTCTAAACACATACACATGTATCTTAAAACACAGTGCAAATTAGTGCATTTTATGTAAAGTTCACAAGTAATCATTTGATTGCAGAGAATACATGTAACAACATAAAAAAAAACCCTTATACTCTGCCCAACTCCTAACTCCCAATTTTTTCTCTAATTTCACATAAGCAAATATTTCTACTATTCACCTATGGTCTTCTCAGCAACATGCTAGGTGCATAGACCTAAGAGTATATTTCTAATAAGCCATTACAAATGTAACCTAGGTTTGGAGATACAGCTCAGTGGCAAAGTGCTTGCCTGCTATATTCAAAGCCCTGATTGAATCCCTCACCCATCCAAAAGTGTAACCTAAAAAAAGAAAGAGCACAGCTGCATGCAAAGTTATATGTTCTATACGGTGGTACCACAGCTGATTTCAGCACTTTTTTTTTTTTCATAAATGAAAAAATATAACCAATGTTGAGATTTTCACCCAACAACTTCCTAAACAATTCCACACTAATATCAGAAATAATGTGAAGATGAAGGCAGATATTGGGGAGTCATACTGCAATAGCCAAAACACAACCTCAAGTCACCAGAAATGTAAGAAGACAGGTCTCCTCTATTCAGCTTTCAGAGATAGTACTGTCCTGTTAGTAACTTGATTTCAGACTTTTGAGCCCAGAATGGAGGGGCTAGTCATCAAGACTTCACTGATGCTGGATTTGCAATGTGACTTCTTTTTTTGTTTTGTTTTTTGTTTTTTTGTTTTTTTGCAGTACCGAGACTGAACTCAAGACCCTGCGCTTGTCTCCCCGGGCCCTGCGGTGTGATTTTGTTCAAGGGCCCAAGATAGTGTTGGCAGAAATGATGGTGTATCAGCTCTTAGGAAATTAAATTTGTGACATATACCTGATGGCCCTTTGAAAAGCTTCTACCCTCCAATATGAGAAAAGACCTTAAGTAACTGATGTGCCTCAAAATTGCACTATACAATGGAAGACACAGAAGTCTTGAACATAACTCATAGCTTAAAGAATACTGCCTAAGATGACCTATAGACTCATGACAGAGAATACAAGCCACTGTTGTGAGCCATTGAGATTTTGGGGATGTTAAATTAACACTTTTGCAGTAGAATCCTGCTAATGCAGAGTTACTCCTTTTTTCTGAGACATGGTCTCACCATGTAGTTCCGACCGGCCATGAACTCACTATATAGCCTGAACGTATCCTCAAACTCACACTCCTGCCTCAGCCTCCCAAGTGCTAGAATTACAGTATATGCCACCATGCTTGGCTAATGTTTTCTTTTTTTTTTTTAATTATTTATTTGTGTGTGTGTGTGTGTGTGTGTGTGTGTGGCCAGCTCAGCCCACCAGGGGGCGGGGCTGGCTGGCATGTGGTGCTGGGGGATTGAACCGCGGTCCCTCTGCTTTGCTAAACTTGTTCTAAGTAGGTGCTTTAGACCACTGAGCCATCTCACCAGCCCTTCTTCTTTTTTTCAAGACACGGTTTCACTATGCAGTTCAGGATGGCCTAGAACTCACTATGTGAGTCTTGAACTCACAGCAACCCTTCTGCCTCATCTAAGTCCAGAGACTGCAGAAATGTACACCATGTCTGGCCATGGTTAATGTTGTTTTTTAAATGATGTTTTTTCCTACTTTCAAATACCCTGGGGCTGGAGAGATGACTCAGTAGAATAAGCGCTTGCCTGGCAAGCGCAAGGGCCTGTGTTCAATCCCCGGTTCTGTCAAACAAACAAACAAACAAACGAAAAACCTGGATGCCACATCCCTTCCCTCTTAGGCTGGAGAGATGGCGCAGCGGAATAAGCACTTGCCTGGCAAGCTCAGGGGCCTGAGTTCAATCCCCAGTTCTGCCAAAAATAAATAAACAGCACATACTTTAGGGCCAGGGAGATGGCTCAGTGGAATAAGCACTTCTCTGGCAAGTGCAAGGGCCTGAGTTCAATCCCCAGTTCCGCAAAACAAAACAAAAAAAAAGAAGTATCAAATACGCTGCCACTTTTTTTTTTTTTTTTTTTTTGGTACTGGGGATTGAACTCAGGATCTTGTGCTTGCCAGGCAAGCGCTTACTCTTCTGAGCCATCTCCCTGGCCCCCTTCACATTCTCAAAAAACAAAGATTGAGGATCACATGCTCTAGACAAACAAGAAAAAACCTTATTATTTTCTTCAACGTCCTTAGCAAAATGGTAAAGGCACCAATAAAGAACTAATCAGTCCAAGATGAAGTTTAAAAAATCATTTTGCTTAATAAACAAAATTATTTTGCCCCTCTGAGTTAGCAAAGGTGTGGGAAGAATGAAGTATTTTTCTTATATTTGTTTCACCTAACTTCAATTTGTTTCTACGCACTACTATTGATCTAAAGAAAGGACTGCCTCATTACTTAATTTTCCTTATTTTTATATTAGAAGTTAAAATATATGTAATAAGTTCTAACATTCTTTTTTTTTTTTTTTTTACAACAAAGTGAGCTTTATTTCAGGGATGCAAGAGTAAATCTAGATTCAAAAGTTCTAACATTCTTGTATTCAACATCTTAACAAAGAGAAACAGAGACTGTGTTTTCATGACCTGGGTGAAAGTACTACTGAACACAATAATGAAACAGTTCCTGTAATATACTTAATAGTCACACAGAGAAAGGTGACACAGGTGTTCAAAATTCAAAAGATCATGTGATATGAAGTGCAGAATAGCTGGCCACATTCCCAGGAGTGTTATTTACAGTCTATGACAGTCCCTCATGCTGCTTAGGATTGTAAAAACAGTGCCCTTTTTTTTTTCTTCCTCAATGTATTTGGTACAGGGTCTCACTATGCAGCTCAGACTCGTAATGATCCTCCAGTTTTCAGCCTCCCCAGTGCTGGGATTACAGGTGTGTGCCACCATGCCAGGTCTTGGTGGCCAGCTCAGTATGCCCAGAGCAGGGCTAGTGCTGCCTACGGTGTCAGGGATTAAACCCGGTCCCTGCACTTGCATAAGCAGGTGATTAGTCTGCTGAGCTATCTCGCCGGCCCCAAAACAGCACTTTCATGCAATGTACATTACCTTTCTAGAGATTGAAGAGACATTCAAACCAAATCTTTGTGCTCTTTCCTTTAGCTTATCCAGGTTAACCTACAAAAACACAGGAATACATTTAAATATCAAAATAGAATATAAAGAAGGTAGAAATTATAGTCCAAAGCCTAGTTTATGACTACAATATAAAAAATAGCTATGTCCCAAACTCAAAAACTAAGCAGTACCCATCCATTCCAGTGATTTAGAAGGCCTCTTGTGTAATATAATATAGTACAAGACTTAGCCCTGTCTCCTTCATTCATCACAGGTGATGAGATCCTAAGGAAGGGTGTAAGATCAAAGTATGCAAGTCAAACACTGCTCAAAAAAACCAAACACATGTAATAAATAATCATCTCTAAGCAAGTCCATCATTCAATCCAAAATCAACAACTCATATAAACAGCCTCTGCAGTAGTTTTTAACTCTACTTTCAAGTAAAGACAAATACAGTTGCTTACATTTTCAAATGTACTATGGCTACTCAATTCTCTTTCCTCTCTTTTCTTGGAAACCTTGATAAGAGTTGCAGTCATAAGATTCGGCATATTTTAATAACAACAATAAATGACAATAATAAAGTATTTCAACTTCACTTAAAATACTGAATAGTATCCCTAAAAGCAGGATTTCAAAAGGCTGAATATATTCTACCACTGCATGTTTCTATTTTCTAAACATAGAGACTAGTTACTAAGGCCCAAAAAACATTCTACCATTCTTTATCCCATGATTTTATACTTAATAGGTAATTTGAAAAATACCAAAATAGTACCTACAAATAGAGCTCATACATTGCTTCTATTGATCCTTTCATGGTAAACATAAAACATTACCTAAAGCTATTGGAGGTATATATATGCCTGAGAGCTATTAGCGTTACTAATATTCATAAAAGCTAGAAAATGTAAAAAAAAAAAAAAAAAACCCACCACTGGGGGATGGGGGATACGGTTTCCTAGTAGAGTTCTTGCCTGGCTATGGATTTAACCTCCAGTAACATAAAAATATTTAAATACAGCCATCAGACAAGGCCTAAGACTCCAGTACCATACAATCAAAGGATTGTCATTCATTAATTCATCCATTCATTCATTTACTTATTTTGTGGTACTGGTGATCAAACTCAAGACCTTACATTTGCCAGGCAGGCACTTATACTGCTGAGCTATCTCCACAGCCCTTTTAAAAAATTTAATTTTTAAAGGATTGTCTTTTAGCTAACAAAATCCAGTCATTTTTTCAAAAAGAGACATCACAGAATGGAAAATATCTGGAATAACTAAATATATGGCAATTTTCCTGACCTCTGCATATGCCCCAGGACAATTTCTTTTTATCTAGGATATATAATAATTGTACAAAAATGGTCACTAAACTCATGACTCAAGAGTTCACTGATTTGGGGAGAAAGGGGAGTCTCTAGGGGCCGGGGAGATGGCTCAGTAGGATAAGTGCTTGACTGGCAAACGCAAGGATCTGAGTTCAATCCCGGTTCTGAAAAAAAAAAAAAGGGGGGGGGGGAAGTCTCTAACTTTAAAACTAACTGTATAATGTTATTATCTAGTCCTGCAAGGGAGAACAGAAGAAAGGTTTCATACCATAGGCTTGGTATCAGATGACAGACCTAAGAAATCAAATAAAAATTTTATTTAATATTTTTAAAACCATAAAGGAAGTCAACAGTCTTTAAACCAAATTAGAATAGCATAAAAACTGTACTTGGGACAAATGTCCTTCATCCTATGATGACAAAAGGAGGCATAAAACACATGTAGGTATCATGTCTACATTCACTGTTGTGAACAAGCAGCTGTTTTCAGTTTCTTAATAAGTTAAATACACTGTGAATATTCTTGCTGTTCTGATTGTGTCATAATCAGGGCAGGCTAAAAATTTGCTATAGCAAGACCATGCATGTGTCCCCACACCTAGATCTTTCCCTAGGTCTGGTTTTATAAATGCTGGTGATAAACCAGATCCAAATAATTGTTTTTGTTTTGTTTTTTTGCGGAACCAGGGATTGAACTCAGGCCCTTGCGCTTAGCGCTTATTCTACTGAGCTATCTCCCCTGCCCCCAATAATTGTAACTAATACTCAGATTTGTCTAAAGAATGTGTAACCTAAGTTTGGACATTGTGAACATTCCAGTTACCGTTAAATGAACTGTAAACGTTAAAAAAAAAAGTTAAATACAGTTACCATATGACCTACCAATTGTTCTACTAGATATACATGACCAAGAGAAATGAAAATATAACATCTATACAAAAACTTACAAACAAATGTACATAATAAGTGAAAAGAGCTGGGCATGGCGGCACACGCCTATAATCCCAGCACTTTGGAGTCTGAGGTAGGAGAACATTACAAATTTAGGGCCAACCTGAATTACATAGTGAGACCTTGTCTCAAAAAAAAACCCCAAAAAACAAACAAACAAACAAACAAACAAACAAACAAAAAACAACTTGCAGGCTCAGTCCTGAACTACTCAGTAATTCTGTTGATTTTTGAGACCAGGTCTTATAATGCAGTTCAGGCTCACCCTGAACTCACTATGTAACCTAGGCTGGCCTTGAACTCCCAGCTATCCTAGTGCCAGGATTATAGGCATGCGCCATGACACCCAGCTAGTCAGTAATTACTTGATACCTTCCAGAACTCATTTTAAGTAATTTCAACCTTATGACTGGTACCCGAGCACTCTAGGAGACTGAGGCAGGAGGATCACAAGTGCAAACCCAGCCTGGGCAACTTACCGAGCCCCTATTCTAAAACACATAGGAAAAGAGGGCAGGGGATATAGCTCAATATGAAGGCCTTGGATTCAATCCCCAATTAAAACTCTCAGACTGCTTTGTGTGATGGCACTCACCTGTAATTCCAGCACTTGGGAAGCTGAAGCAAGAGGATCTCTGTAAGTTCACGGCCCATCTGGACTACACAGTGAGACCTTCTTTTATTACTTACAGTAATCCATAACACTAAATAGGTACACAATATTTTAGACAGCTGGGCATGGTGGTACACACCTTATAGACCTAGCACTCAGGAGGCTGAGGCAGAAGGATTGTTATGAACTTGAGTATATAGCTGAGTTCAAGGCCTAATAAGACCCTGTCTCAAAAAAAAAAAAAAAGGCTGATGAAATACTAGAATAAATAAGCAAGGTATTGGATACTTCTCTGAAGATGTCTAAGGAAGACAAATGTTGGCTCCTCCTTCTATTTTAATATCAGAGCCGTCTCTTAATTGCTCAGGAAAGTTTAAATATGATTTTATTTAAACCAAAAAGGCAAATGCTACAACCTCCTAAAAACTTCTACAGCTAACAAATTTACCTTAATTTGGACAAATGAAATGTTACATCAGAAAAGAATAAAGATAACTTTCTCAGAAAAATGTCTGTATTCTTACCTTTTGTTGGAACTGAGGAAATACCAAACCTATAGAAGAAAAAAAAAAAGTTAACTTTTAGGAAGCTGTTCACACTCTTGATCGTCTGTCTCCGTGTCAAGTGTACATGTGACACTTCATGCTTGTGATCTCAAGCTTTGCAATCATTAGCTAATTCTAACAACTCCATGAAAGAGGTTCACTCTCATTCTCACCAAAAGTCCAGAGAATAAGCTACAAAAACCTATATCAGAGTGAGGAGCAGCAGTCCGTTTCTGACTTTCATCTATTACAAAAACCCTATTTAGTAATAAAGCCTATTCTATAACTATATCACCGTATCACTAGAGATGTGTTGAACAGGGTCAAAAATGCTTATTTCTTTTCTGCAGGGTCACTAGTCTATTAAAAATCAAGTTATATCCAAAACATAGATATAAGGTCACATCTGTACTTTCAGGTATACCATTAGTATCTCAGGTCCAAAAGGTTGGTGACACTTACCTGGCTGCCCGAGCAGCTTTCTTGCTTTCCAAGCTCACAGGTACATTGAATCGTTCAGCCCTCTTTTGCATTCTCTAAGTGATAACAGACAAAAGAAGAGAAAAATTCAATTTCTGATTTAAAAAGATAGAGACATTACCTTAATATTAGGAACAGTATTTTTTCTTTTCTTTTTTTTAGCAGGGTGGGGGGAGGGACTGGGTATTAAAACCAAGATCTTTGAACTGAGCTGCATCCCTACCTCTTTTTATTTTTTAGACAGGTCTCATGAGTTGCCTAACTGGGACTGAACTTGTGATCTCCTGCCTCAGCCTCCCACAGTACTGGAATGATAGATAGGTATTACCATGCTCAGCCAAAGTAATTTCTTAAGAGTCTAGACTAAAAATACTGACAGTTCTGGAAGATATCAGGTTGTGCCCATCCCAGAGCTAAATGAACAGCTGTTTTCCAGAGAGCAAACAGAAAAAAGACTCATTAATTTATGCCCTCAGAAACAGAAAAGAAAAATAAAACCCATGACCAAAAAACTATGGCTAACCTTTGAAAAGAGACAAAAGAAATAGTCTGCTTAACACCAGTAACTTCTTTCAATCAGAAATGAGGCAGCACCATCTCAAGGCATTCTACAGGGATTCTACTTTGAAGATACAAAACTGAGCACAAGATCTCAACTGAAACCTGGTTTCACTCCTTCAGACAAAATTAAAAGAAATCTGAATCTCACCAGCTAGCAAGTAACAATTTAAGAGGGATATATATCAGTTACTTTTCCAAGGCACAATTTACTCAAACTAACCTACATTTGTAAACATATTATTAGAGTTACCACTAAGACTACTAAATCATATATTAAAAAGACTATAGCTTCAAAAGTAGTCCAAATATTTTCTTAATAATAACTGGTAGGGAAATCAACACCAAAACTTTTTAGTAGTTTGCTTACAAATTAAAAATTTTTTTTTTTTTTTTTTTTTTTTTTTTGGCAGGACCGGGGATTGAACTCAGGCCCTTGTGCTTGCCAGGGGAGTGCTTATTTTACTGAGCTATCTCCCCAGCCCCACAATAAAAATTTTAAGATAATGATGCAGACTTAATAAAGGATAAGAAACAAAATGAAGACTATTCTGGACCACAGAGATATCTCAGTGGTCTAAGCACCTGCCTATGCAAGAGCAAGAACCTGGGTTCACTCCCCAGTACTGGCCCCTGGGCACACCATGCCGGCCAATAAGACTGGGCATGGTGGCCCACACGCCTATAATCCTAGTGCTGGGGAAGCTGAAACAGGAGGATCGATACAAGTCTGATCTTCATAATGAGACCCTGTACCAAATACATAAAGTTTAAAAAAAGAAATGAAAACTATTCTATTAAGGAGCAGAATACATACCTCAGTCTGTGGCAACTCAGATGTAATTTTTACCACTTTTTTCTCTGATGCCCTGGAAAAATTTTTAAAAACCAGTCAACTGATATTCTAAGCCAAAACTTTATAAATATATTAGAATTTACCTAGGTATTATCCTCTGCCTCCCTCTAATGAAACATAAAGTTCATTACAACTCTAGTTTCCCAAACTACTCATCTACTGAGATGAGTTCAAACAGCAGTAAACTACTTTAGCTAAGGTATAACAAAGTAATTGGGAAATAAGCCTGGTTAAACATATTGGGTTGAAGAGAAACATGCAAAGGATACCAGAAATAATTTCATCTGCTTTTAGAAACTTTAAATTTACTTCTAGACTAATGACCGTGCCGTCAAGTCTCAATTTTCATAATAACATTTAATGAGCACTCTATAATAAACTCCAATTTCCTCTGACAAAACCCTTATTTCTCCCACAGGACTGTAGCTCTAGATGAAACAGTGAAAGTGGAACAAATAAAAATACCAAAGGGAGTGGGAAAAAGGTATAAGGGGGGTTTGAATCAGGAAAACATGGCAAGTTACTGGTCAAAAGGTTTAAGACAAAACAAAAGAGACCACAGGGACGGGAGACAAAGTTCGGAAGTACCCAGAATAAATGGAAGGGCATTAACTCTCCACCAAACAACTCCCATAAAACTGTGGGTCATAACCAGTCTCATTAAGGTCCCTCATTTAGAGACATGGGCGGCTTTTGTTCCAATATCCCAGACACTTTTCCCATTTGATGCTCTGAAAAGTAGTAATGGCTTAATGACATTTTCAGAGGAAGCAATTCTAGAACAGGAACTCTGGCTCTCCATTCTTTTGTTGGAGGTACCTTGACAGACAAGCAATGAGTGCCCCCTGCTGACCATAACTAAGTCCTACAATATGCTACTACTTTGGCTAAAGAAAAACAAAATCAAAACAGAAAGACATGTTTATCAGAACTTCTAGCCAAAAACAAAGCAAGGAAATTTTCTTTCAAATATTCAAAAGACCTAAATCAGCTCTAAAGATTCTGACTTTTAAAGAAATCCCCATATACATTCCGCTTCCTGGCTATCCTTCCCAGCCTTCTCTTTTCAGGTAAAGTCTCAAAGTTTAAAGTTTTACTTGAGGTCCAATGTCATTAAGACAGCAGTTCTATCCATCAGTCCCAGGCTAATGACTTCCTCCACATTCTCTCATGAAACACAATCAATGCTGAGACTTCATTGAAAGGAACTCTAGAGAAAAACAATCTATTTTTTTGCGGAACCGGGGATTGAACTCAGGCCCTTGCACTCGCCAGAGAAGCACTTATTCCACTGAGCCATCTCCCAGCCCCTAAAAAAAAAAAAAACATTTTTCTACAATATAAAAAATAAATGCAAGTCACATTCTGGGACTTGTGAGACATTTGTATTCTTCACTGACAGTATTTTCTCTTAATCAGTTACATACAAAAAAAAATTCTCCAAGGGCTAAGGAGATAGCTCAGCAGCATAAGCACCTGCCTGGCAAAATAAATAAATA